TAATAATTGTTTTGCTGATTGGAATGTTTCTTGTATGTAGTGTCTTTGAGTATTTAGAAAAGCGCTTTTAAATAAAATGTATTATTATGATTATTATATGCTGCTGTAAACACGTACATTTATCAATATTCTGTATTCTGAGTTTCAGTTGCCTCAATTTGTGAAATTCTTGGATTAAGCTTCATTTCTTCCCGAACCGGAATCGAACATTTTGAGGCAGGTATGCTTCAAACAAAGCATTTACTGGAATCCAAAAAATCTTCTGAAACCCCCTCCCCACACATTTTTTTGATGCCAGAATTGGACGGCCAAAACCAATATCATCCACTTGCTTTTTTCATTCACTTTTCCATCACTTTTCAGCTGTACAAACATGTGCAACACCCTAAATTCCTTTAAGAAAGGACAGTCTGTAAGTATGCCCTGGTATTCCCATTTGTCTCTCGCCCCTGACAACAAGCTTTTTATGTCCCCTCTACGAGTGTGGCATTTCGGAACCACTATAAACAGTTCTTTCCTCAGAAGTGGTCGTTTTCATTTTGGGCACACCTCAAACTTGGGTTGTCTCGTACTATGACACGCAACACAGGATAAAACTACAAATAATTAGGCCCAAGGCTTATTTTATTTGAAAAATGTTTGCTGATATTATGTAGTTTGCTCCTGCCTCAAAACAGCGCCATAAAAACCCATATTTGTTGTAATGAGTAAAGGCAGGGGTATGCTCGGAAGCAACAGGTCCGTAAAACATGTCATCTGACCACATCTGAAGGCATAAGTGCTGTTCTAAAAAAAAAAAAAAAAAACCCACACTAGGCGGGGTGGAAAGTGTGCCTTCACAGAGAGGGGCGTGATGTGATGATTGTTCAAAAGGGGATAATGGCGCACACAATCATTCTTGCACTTGTACACACAAAAAGTGACATAAGTACTTGTGTGAAGACAGAAGTTGTCCAACCATCCGACAAGCACTTAATTAGCTTTTAGTCACTCTCAGTAAAGCCTTCTCTCATGTTTTACTTTGTGACACGCTGAGAAATGTTCTCAGATAATATCTGCGGCTCAGCACCACCTGAGGCAGGTTAGAAGCAGGAAAAAAATAAGTACGTTATACGGCCAGCAAGTCATATCTGATATTTTACACAGTTGACAGGTTAGACCTGACCTTGAGAAGGCGCAGAGAGAGTAGCAGCCCAAAAGTCATAATATGCTGACGGTGGGAAAGATGAAACAACTAATCAAGGCTGACATGTTGTTGCAGTTCTCTTCAAGCTCCGATCAGATAAGGCAAACAATCACTTAGGAAGACCTCAGGCTCTCCACATCCTCTTTGGCATGATTGGCATGATAGGGCCTGAGTTAAACTGAGCTGCAGCCAAGTGAGCCGGCTTGTCTTTATTATTTCAGTAATTAATATAACACTCAGTCATACCAATTCACAGTGTGAATGCGGCTAGTGCCACATATAAGTGATAATTGTAAAACAATGTTTAATAAGTAGGTGTAACAAAATAAATACTAAACGGTTTATCTCATTAGAGCTGTTATGGTAGAATTAGCTTTGCTCATATTAGTCTTCACTGCGTCCCCTTGATTCTGCCATGTGACACAATCATCATGTTATGCAGAGAAATTAACTAGTCACGGAAAAAGTCAGAGTTAATATTTATCAGTGATGGTGTAAAGATATATTGTACAGGAACTAGATTAGAGGTTCTGGGATGGTAAATGTAGACTTACAAACTGAACTCAAGTCTGACTAAAGTTGTATTATGTATAAAATAAACATGAGACAGAGTAGCTTTGATTCTTTTTAAACCATAATATGCAGTTAAAATGTTTAAAATATGTTTTATTTCGGACACTAAAGTGGTGGGGTTCTTTACATTTGGATATGAGACTTAACTTGTTACTGTTTAAAGACTAGAGACCAATTTAAGGTCAGTAAAGCTGACTTGGTCAGACCTCTGCATGAAATGGGCCGAATAATAAATATGATACTTGTGCATATGGCAATCAACACTTCATGCTGTCTGTGACGATAGAGAGAATTCATGTAGAGTGATTTATTGTAAATGTCAGCATGGAAAGGAAAGTTTGCGATCTCACGTCCATTGACATTTGACATACCAATGTTGGCAGGTCCACTCAGACACAGGATAAAGTTCTGTTATGCTTCGCCAGGCAGGCCTCCCGTCTCTTTTAAAGACGATACACTTTCACCACAAAGTTCCCCGCTGTGTGTTTCATAAATGTTTATCCCACATGACTCCAGCCCCTTCCCCAAAGTTTGCTTAGGATAGCTGTAAAACCTGCCAACTCTCATGAAAGAGAAAGATTTTTTAAATGAAATATATAAAGCCTGCTTCAACATGTTTGGTTCCAAAGGAGAACTCTTTTAGAAACCACAATTACCTCCTTAAACAATTCTCCACTTTGGCAAGCCAGCAGGGTTCAGAGAGGTGTGTGCAAATGTGTGTGTGAGAGACAGTAGTTGACTGGTTGAATGCAGTGAACTACAGTGAACTACAGTTAACTGAGAAGATTCTTAGTTGAAGTCAGACACTAAAATAATTAAATGAAGATTACAGTGTGAATATTTTCACATAACCAACTGACTTTTTTCTCTAGCGCCACCAGCAGGTTGACATCATTTTGGGTTTTAGTGACATGTCTCGTCAACTATTTGATGAATTGCCATGAAGTTTGGCACAGATATCTATGGGGCTCTGCTGACTTTTCCTCTAGCGCCACCAACAGGTCAAAGATTTCACTTATCCAGTGAAGTATTTCATCATCTGCAGGATGAATTGGCATAAACGTCAAAAGACCGAGATCCAGACGATGAATCCTAATAACTTTGGTGATCCCTTACCTTTTAATCTTGTGCCATCATCAGGTCAAAATTAAACATTTTCCAGTATCAGATTTTTCTACCAAGTAGCAGAAATGGAGGAAAGGCCTCCAAACATCCAAAACACTGTCCCGCATTTAAGAGTTAAATGAATGTAGCTTGCCCCACATGTTGATGTCTGTACAAAAACTCCTTGTCATCTCAAAATAACTTTAACTGGTGTCCACTTTTCATCCACATGTATTGAAAGATAATGGATAAAAATGACAGAAAATATTTTATAATACAAAAAACAAACAAAAAAAAACAACACTGTAGTGCAGCTGCTGGGCTCTCAAACCAAAATCCTCATTGTTGACTTCTCTGGCATGTGCGTGCAACTCAGAGAGAACCAGGAAAAATAATTGACTTATTCATTATAAAACAATGGAGGGGAATCAAAACATTACAGACAGCCCTACATCCCTTTTCAAACAGGAGGAGAGTGAGAGTGGTAATATTCACAGTAAGTAGAGGAGAATGTAATGTTGTTGGGCACTAAATTACAGTCATTGAAAGCTTGTATGGTTACCCAGCGATCTATCACTGTCACAAAGAGAGGGAGAGGGGGAGAGAGAGCAGACAGGCGCCAGGCGCAGCAGGATCAAAGCAGAAATGTACCTCGGGGAGAGAAACAGTTAACTCCATTTAACCAATTGTCCTACAGACAGGCAGCCAGTGTGCTGCTGCAGGCCTAACAACAGTTCCCATAAGAGAGAAAAACTCGCACATATTGGGTTTCACTGAAAGTGATTTGAGTTGATTTGAAGAGCTGCACAAAACCAATTTGGATGGGCCTCTTCGATGGGCCTCTGCAACATCACTTGTGGTTTTACTGTCTCTCGAAGGGATTACAGACAATGAACACAATAGGTTGAAATATGGGCAATACACAGCCATAGATAATTTGATTGCAAGTCACAAGATAGAAATTTATGGTGATAATAAGTCTTGAGAGTATTGAATACTGTAAATCACAGCCTTGATTGCTTACTGCTTTAATGAAACACGGTAATAAACTACTGTCAACATATTCTCAGTCACAAGTTTTCAGATACAAGTTATGGCACTAGAAACATTTTATTCTAGTAAACTTTTATCTGGTGAAGTTTTGGTTCAGTTTTTTGTTTTTGGCCACTTGGGGGCAGCAGAACATGCTGTAAACCCAATGTTGACATATTATCACCAAGTTAATATAATAAAAATGCAAACAGATGTTAACATCAGAGGACACAAAGCAACATTAGCATTCATTGGGAGTCAGGTTTGTGTCTACCGGATGAATGTATGTCCATATTCACTTCCCCTTTAGCTCTGTTTTGTTCTCTCGCACTATGTTCACCAGATAGATGCTAACTCTGGCTGTCAGTCATTTGGTGCTTGACAGGTTGCGTACAGTAGAGTAGCTGCCTGTTTCTGTTGAAAACAAGGTTGATGAGAGCAGTAAGAGTGGATCAAAACAGTGATGTTAGAGATGTAAAACCAAACAAATTTCTTTGTTGGGGCTCTTTTTAAAGCAGAGGGGAGTGATCATTCTCTCTTAAAGTGGGAGAGCAACAGAGGTGGACTGGGTTTAATTCCAGCCTGTGGCGCTTTGCTGAATGTCATCCCTTCTCACTCTCTCTCCCCCCATTCCTGTCTACCTTCAGCAGTCATTATCCAATAAAAGGTAATTTTAAAAAGCCCCCAAAAATAAGGAAATAACAAAATCCCACATTTGATATGTGTCAATATTTAAAATGTATCATTAATATTATTAAATAATATTAAATGTGTCAGGCAAATAAGTTTGTGTGCTGAAATGTCATTTTTGTAATAATTTATGCAGAAGTATTATTTTACAATGTTTAAATGTGCACAAATTAAACCCATTGATTCAGTACTTGGGGGGAGATGGTGCTGAAGCCCACAGCTGGACAAAAATTGTGAGGGTATTTTACTTTGGAGACTCCGCCCTGGAGAGGTTTACATCTGTCAAAGCACCACAGGCGCACGAAATGGACCACAACACTGTCATTACAAACCTGACCTATCAGAGACTGTTCTACTCGAATCACGTGGAAACATCGACAGACTGATAGGCAGGCGGAAAGATGAGAGAGGAACTCATGGCACTTCACTGAAGAAGAGGCAAGTCCGTGCGTAAAAACTTAAAAGTTTACCAAGCAGCTGCGCAACACCAGAGGAACCTGGGCAACAGATTCCCTCGAGTGAAAACACGAAAAAACAAAAACAGCAACGGAGAGAGCCGCAGGAAAATTGATTGTATGGCACCTCAGTCGTGCGTAATGAATCCTGCGCAGGGATCGCCGCCCTCGGCTGCTCCAGGGGAGACCCAACCAGAGGACCGAGCCGCTGGTGGCATGGGAACTGACGAGCTGGACCTGTCATCTGTCAGAAGGTGTAAAACCAAAAGTTTAGATCTGCCTTTCAGTGTGGAGTCCCTCATATCAGACAGGACGCCGGACAGAAGCCTCCACTCCCCGGGGCCTGGCTCAGGATGCGTCCGGGGAGAGGAGACCGAGTGTGCGTCACCGAGAGGACTTTATCGGTCCAAAACCGAGGCGGTGGACTTTAGCGACAAGGAGACGAGCTCTTGGATTCAGACTCCTTACGCATCCCCATCAAGTGAGTGTAGGATCTTTCATGCGCTATTATTTTTCCAACTTTCCAGCAGTCTTAAACTGTTCTGGAAACAGTGAATGTACAACATATTTTATACCCTAGGTCTTTATCAGTGCACAAAACAAAACTTTGAGCCTACATATTCTGTTTGATTGTTCCCTGATCTGGTTTTACTTTAATTCTGTAAAATCCAAACTGGCAAAGTCACTAAGTAAATATAATTAAGCCACATCGATCACATATTCTGACTCATGTTCTAATTATGTGACTTTTAAAAATATGCTTCCAGGACTCCCCAGCCCGCCCCCGTGCAATCTACGGAAACACAAGAACAACAGGAAACCCAGAACTCCCTTTACAACCTCTCAGCTGCTTTCTCTGGAGAGGAAGTTCCGTCAGAAACAGTACCTCTCCATCGCGGAGAGAGCGGAGTTCTCCAACTCCCTCAGCCTCACAGAGACCCAGGTCAAGATCTGGTTTCAGAACCGCAGGGCCAAGGCCAAGAGACTGCAGGAGGCCGAGCTGGAGAAGCTCAAGCTGGCCGCAAAGCCGCTGCTGCCGGCCTTCGCCTTCCCCTTCCCCATGAGCGCACCCATGGGCGCCCCATCCCTCTACGGGGCCCTGAACGGACCACGGCCTGCCTTACCTGTTCCAGGACTATTCAGTGGACCATATGGGATGTACTACTTGTCTTAACCCTCACTAACTTTGAACTGCATCGTTGGGACAGCTGCCTTAATAAAAGCCTTCATACAGCAAATAACACTGCAAAAAATGTCCATCTTAAATCTGCCTGATATCTAATATTAAAATAATTTAAAATATATTTTACAATAGTGAAAAAAATCTAATTGTGTGAGAAGAATAATTTTTACACAAATATGCAATCTGTCTTAATTTTAAGAAACACCTGGAACAAGTGAAATACTTTCACTCGATAGTAATGTTTCACAATTTTTAATTAACTTTATGTTAATTTAAAATTATGAATTATTTACATTACGGTAATTTATTTGATAACATGGTATTTTTTGCAGTGTATTCAGTAAACTCTTTTATTTTTATTGACGGGCTCATTTTTCGGATTACATTTTCAGATATCATATGTATTGTAAGATTTTCTATTCCAATAGAGCTATTCCGTAATTACTCATTTTAACGTCGCAAGAGAATTTGGTTAGTTATTCAAAAGGCCTGTAGTTCTGAGTTTAAAGCAATAACTCGTGATGACTCCAGGTGTCCATGTGAATGGTTTATGTTCATACCAGAGGCCTTTAAAACTGTCTTACCTTAAAAAAGGATACAGATTTATATTTCATCAGCATCATTCATCATCCATTCAAAAACACGCTTATAGCTGAGGGATTTAATTATTTAATCATTAATCATAGACTCAGACTTTATAATATAACTCAATCAGACTTTCTTTTTTTAAGGCGAAGGTGAAAGAAAAAAAGTAACCAGTCATGATATATATATATAAACTATGATCAGAAGCTATAAAGAGGCATCTTCAAAGTCATTTAGCAGAAAACACACACACACCTTATGGAACAGACTATGAAGAGCTCATCACTGCCTTTTAGTTACCGGTGTAATGAAATGTCATTAAATGTTTTCCTTTTAAATTTGAATTGACTTTTACAGTAATATCTAAACCACAAAACTTCTGTTTGTTTCTAACTTCTTAATTCCCAGTTTCAGAAATACAAATGAACCATGATCCTGCTTTACTTTTGTCATATAATGTGTTTTTTTGTACATTACCTCAAAAGGAGAACTTTTTTTGCACAGGTGTTCAAAGAGCTTCTTAAAAAGTCCAAGACCACAGCTTCATTACTAAATGTAAATAAAAAGTCACCAACTATTTTTGCAAACACTCAGAGTGCTAAAGATGACTGATCAGTCATTAATGTACAGTGTATTTTATATCTGATGGGTGAAAAGGTGTTTTGTACAATTATTAAAATCTATTCTGTAAATTCTGACATTGCTCTCGTTTGTCTCTTCACACATTATTCCTGTGGAGTCGTTTAAAACTCACCCTGAGCTGCACTGCATCGTTCTTTTAAGAGCACAACACATGCATTTACACCTGTGTAACAGATCAGCAGCATCCTATATGGAGTACATCATAATTTTCCTTTAGGAGCTGATAAAGTTTGTTATAAAAACAGACATTAAGTGTTACACTTAGCAGTTAGTCCTGTTTGTTGACAGGCTGGATGTCACCACATGGAAGAGAAGAGAGATAAAAACCTACACACAACGATGAAAGGTATTCTTCATCACCAGAACAAATGTCTACACACATCACTTTTTTTGCGCAAAAAAAACAACCTCATTTTAATGTTAATTACACACAACAGTAGATATATATTTTGTTACATGACAAGAGTATAAAGTTATACATCTTAAAAGATAGAAGGCTCAATTCTGGTGTCTCATTTCCTCCTTCCCCGCCGCCCTCTGAAGCCTCGGACGGAGCCGTGACCGAAGCACACAGTTGTAGGAACCCTGGGAGACGAGAACACGGCTGTTGTTCTGTCTTTTTGCATTTGTCACATTGTTTATCATTTAAATAAGAAAGATTGTAGTAAATATTATGAAGCTTTCAACTCACATACATTTTCTATATATAACATTACACATAAATGATAGAAAGAACCCTTCCCACTGTTTGCTTAACTACAAAATTGCACTTTTTACCTTAAAAAGACTGGAATTTTATCTTCTGACTAAAGACTAAAGCCCTAAATTTCCAGAGAAGATGACTGATTCAGTCTCTCTTCGTACAGGGAAAAAAAATAACCAGAGAATCTCCAGTGCTTTCCTGCAGACTTGTTTAGAGACTAACCTGTAGGAGTATCGTGGTTTTAGTGGCTCGGTGCTTATATTCCCAGCGCCGTGAGCTTCAGCAGAAAGATCTGCGTGCTCCTCGGCGGAGGCAGACTTCGCCATGCGAGCAGCTTCTTCCTCGGACACAAGCGTCTCCATGGATTCCCCATGCTCGGGTTGGTCGGACAACACATCGCACATAACCTCACACACACCCTCGGACTCACACACATCATCCACTACCTCCATGGCTGTGTCTTTTTGCTGCGGTCTCTTCGTCTCTCGGGTTCTATTAACAAAGATACGATATGATAAATACACAATCAAAAGGTATTTAAAGGACAATATAATGATTTAACACCTGTTTAAGCTATTTTACTGTTTGCTGGGTCAGACAAATGATACAAAAATGTGCATTTATAACAAGTTTTTAAAGGAAAGTAAATCAAAAGTTGCACACTGGCTTCAATAAAGCAGCAATAGATGTAACTGTAAAAATATGAAATCAAGTCAAGTGAAAATAGAAATCAACTCTGCAAGAATCTGTCAAAATTCTGTTTACCATAACAAAAACGGGCTCTACTAGACTGAAACTTTGCTTAGAGTAATATTTTTACTGACGTTTTGCTGCCATCTAGTGGACCAAACACTGTAAGTGCAGTCTTACCCTCTGTCCTTTTTGGTTTTGTCGAATCTGAAGTCTGGAGGATACTTGTGAATTCTTATTAGATGATCCTTCCGGTGTTTACTAGTTCTGAACTTCTGTCCACAGCCCTCCACCAAACACTGGTACTGAAACAAATTACAAAACGTATCTTTAAAGCCTTAATAGTCATCTTAAAAAGAATGTTTGAAATAGTTCACTTTACATACTACAACAAGCTCAAGCTGTAACTTACCATATCTTGCCTCTGGGCGAGGATAGTGAAGAGAGAGTCGTGCCACTCCTGAATGTGAATGTCCAGGAGCCGGGCACTCGGCAGGGAGCGACGGCAGGAGCAGCACACGTGTCTGTGCAGGGAGTTGTAGTGGTGCTCATACTCCTCCAAAGTGCTGAAGACTGCACTGCAGCCAGAAATGTGACAGGCAAACTCTGACACACTGAAAAAAGACAAGAGGGGAAGGAAGGTGACTAACCTACAGTTAAAAAGGTAGAAAAAGAAAACAGCTGTTGCTAAGAAATTATCATTTCTGGGGTCAAATTGTTGTTTTACTTTATAAATTTCTGTAGATAACTGGTCAATAATATTAAGTTAGAAAATAAACAAACCATTTTCCATTATATTTAACAATAATATTCATTCAACTGATGTCCCAACAAACTAAAATATGAATGTGTTTTGACACAAAATGATTCAGGTGTAATATATTGACAAAGTAAAATATCATATCATCAGAATCAAGTAAGTTTTCACATACGAGGAATTTGTCTTGGTGCATAAGAATCACAATCAAGCATAGAAAAAACTGAAATAAAGATAAAAATAGAGACAATAAAAAGGAGCCACTTTAAATAAATATAAAGTGTGACATTATATCTGCAATGTGCAAGTTGTTGTTGTTTTGTTGTATTTGTCTTTCGCTACATTTGTTCTGTTTGTTGTTTAACCAGAAATTCATTTGCTTTTCACGTCCAAAACCTAAAACTTCAATCGAACACGAATATAACTTTTGGGTTTTTCGTACCTGAGTGGCGTCTTGTCGTCTGCCTCGGAGATGTAGAGGTCTTGTAGATACATGTGTCTGTGAACGTCCCCATCCTGTAATGTTAGTAAACAACAACAATAATAAATAAATCAAAGATAGAGTACAAATTAAGAAAAATAAATAAATACTAATTTAAAAAAATAAATACTAATTTAAATAAATAATTTAAATAAATAATTTAAATAAAAAAATACATAATAATTTAAATAAAAAAAAAACATAATAATTTAAATTAAAAAATACATAATAATTTAAATAAATAAATAAATAAATAATAATTTAAATAAATAAATAATAATTTAAATAAATAAATAAATAAATAAATAAATAAATAGATAGTTCAAACAGGGGCTTCAGGGAAAAACTTTTCATAATGACTCAGTAAGGTATTACTTTTTTTGTTATTTAACAAAATCAGAGATTTAAGCAAAGAGCTCAGTTCCAGGAGAAAAGGAGCAAATTTAGGTAGTGATTTT